TTCGACATCAAGCACATGATGGCATCGAGCTCTGTTGCAAACGTTTGCAGACATTTCACTAGTGAAGTATTGTCACATGTGTCATTTACAGCATCATGGTACCGATCTTTTTTGGGCCAGGTATGTGGGATTTTCCGAAATAAAATGAAATAACATGTGTCATACACAGCATCATGGTACCGAGCTTTTTTGGGCCATTTATGTGGGATTTTCCATACTAAAATGAAATGACATGTGTCATACACGGCATCATGGTACCGAGCTTTTTTGATAGTTTCTGTGGGATATTCCCAGAATAAAAGGAGATAACGCGTGTCATTTATTGCATTATGGTATTGGACCTTTTTTTGTGCAAACATTTGCAGGCATTTCACTAGTGAAGTCTTGTCACATGTGTGATTTACAGCATCATGGTACCGATCTTTTTGGGCCATTTATGTGGGATTTTCCATAATAAAATGAAATGTCATGCACGGCATCATGGTACCGAGCTTTTTTGGGCCATTTATGTGGGATTTTCCATAATAAAATGAAATAGCCTGTGTCGTACACAGATTTTTTTACACACAAACGCTTTTACACGCAGATGCTTTTACACACACACACACTTTCACACACAAACGCTTTTACACACAGACGCTTTTACACACAGACGCTTTTACACACAGACGCTTTTACACACAGACACTTTTACACACAGACACTTTTACCCACAGAAGCTTTTACACACACACACGCGTTTTTATTTTACACACACACACACTTTCACACACAGAGGCTTTTACACACAGACGCTTGCACAGAGACTTTTACACACAGAAGCTTTTACACACACACACACATACACACACACACGCTTTTCTTGTACACACACAGACGCTTTTACACACAGACGCTTTTACACACAGACGCTTTTACACACAGACACTTTTACACACAGACACTTTGACCCACAGAAGCTTTTACACACACACACACACGTTTTTATTTTACACACACACACACTTTCACACACAGAGGCTTTTACACACAGACGCTTGCACAGAGACTTTTACACACAGAAGCTTTTACACACACACACATACACACACACACGCTTTTCTTGTACACACACACACACTTTCACACACAGAGGCTTTTACACACAGACACTTGCACAGAGACTTTTACACACAGACGCTTTTACACACACACACACGTTTTTACACAAAGACGCATTTACACACAGAAGCTTTTACACACAGACTCCTTTACACACAGACGCTTTTACACACAGAAGCTTTTACACACAGACACTTTTACACACAAACGCTCTTACACAGAAGCTTTTACACAAGACTCCTTTACACACACACACACAGAACTGCTTTTACACACAAACGCTTTTTACACACAGAAGCTTTTACACCGCGCTTTTCACACAGACTCCTTTACACACAGACGCTTTTACACACAGAACTTTTTTACAACACACAGACCTTTTAACCCATACGCTTTTTACACACCAGACGCTTTCACACCAGCGGCTTTTTACACCAAACACTTTCACACACAGAGGCTTTTACACACAGAAGCTTTTACACACAGGCGCTTTTACACACAGACGCTTTTACACACAGACGCTTTTACACACAGACGATTTTCCACACAGACGCTTTTACACACAGACACTTTTACACAGACTCCTTTTACACACAGACACTTTTACACAAAAACGATGTTACACACAGAAGCTTTTACACACAGACGCTCTTACACAGAAGGTTTTACACACAGACTCCTTTACACACAGACGCTTTTACACACAGAAGCTTTTACACACAGAAGCTTTTACACACAGACGCTTTTACACACAGACGCTTTTACACACAGACGATTTTACACACAGACGCTTTTACACACCAGCACTTTTACACACAGACCCTTTTACACACAGACGCTTTTACGCATAGACACTTTTACACACAGACAATTTTACACACAGACGCTTTTACACACAGACGCTTTTACAGACAGACACTTTTACACACAGACACATTTACACAAACGCTTTTACACACAGACGCTTTTACACACAGACACTTTTACACACAGACTCCTTTACACACAGGCGCTTTTACACAAAGAAGCTGTTACACACAGAAGCTTTTACACACAGACGCTCTTACACAGAAGCTTTTACACACAGACTCCTTTACACACAGACGCTTTTACACACAGAAGCTTTTACACACAGACACTTTTACACACAGACGCTCTTACACACAGAAGCTTTTACATAGAGACTTTTACACACAGACACTTTTACCACAGAAGCTTTTACACACACACACGCACACACACACACACGCTTTTCTTTTACACACACACACAAAGGCTTTTACACACAGATGCTTGCACAGGGACTTTTACACACAGACGCTTTTACACACAAACACTTTCACACACAGAGGCTTTTACACACAGAAGCCTTTACAAAGAGACTCCTTTACACACAAACGCTTTTACACACAGACACTTTTACACACAGACACTTTTACACAGACTCCTTTACACAGAGAGGCTTTTACACACGGAAACTTTTACACACAGACACTTTTACACACAGACACTTTTACACAAAGAGGCTTTTACACACAGACGCTTTTACACACAGACGCTTTTACACACAGACGCTTTTGCACAAACGCTTTTACACACAGACTCTTTTATACACAGACGCTTTTACACACAGACGATTTTACACACAGACGCTTTTACACACAGACACTTTTACACACACAAAAGCTTTTACACACAAACGCTTTTACACACAGACGCTTTTACACACAGACACTTTTACACACAGACGCTTTTACACACAGACCCTTTTACACACAAACGCTTTCACACACAGAAGCGTTTACACACAGACTCCTTTACACACAGACGCTTTTACACACAGAAGTTTACACACAGAAGATTTTACACAAAATCAAAACTTTCACACACAGACGCTTTTACACAGAGGCTTTTACACAGAGGCTTTTACACACAGACGCTTTTACACACAGGCGGTTTTACACACAGACACTTACACAGACACTTTGAAACACAGACGCTTTTACACACAGACGCTTTTACACACAGACCCTTTTACACACAGACGCTTTTACACACAAACACTTTGACACACAGACGCTTTTACACACAGATGCTTTTACACACAGACACTTTTACACACAGAGGCTTTTACACACAGAGGCTTTTACACTGTAAAATCGCAATTTTTCCTCAGTTTTTGACGTCCAACGTCCATTTCGTGCGAAAGGGTTACGATTGAATAAGTAAAATCGCAATTTTTCCTCAGTTTTTGACGTCCAACGTCCATTTCGTGCGTAAGAGTTGCGATTAACACCTCAAAGTCGCAATTTTTTCCTCAGTTTTTGGCGTCCAACGTCCATTTCGTGCGTAAGGGTTGCGATTGACAACTCAAAGTCGCAATTTTTCCTCAGTTTTTGACGTCCAACGTCCATTTCGTGCGTAAGGGTTGCGATTGACACCTCAAAGTCGCAATTTTTCCTCAGTTTTTGACGTCCAACGTCCATTTCGTGCGAAAGGGTTGCGCGGGACGCTTCAAAGTCGCAATTTTTCCTCAGTTTTTGACGTCCAACGTCCATTTCGTGCGAAAGGGTTGCGCGTGACGCTTCAAAGTCGCAACTTTTCCTTAGTTTTTGGCGTCTACCGTCCATTTCGTGCGAAAGGGTTGCGCGGGACGCTTCAAAATCGCAATTTTACCCCAGTTTTGGACGTCCAACGTCCATTTCGTGCGAAAGGGTTGCGTTTCGTGGCGCTCCGGCGGCACCGCCCCCGCCTTAAGAGAGAATAGAAGAAGAGCGAGAGGAGATCTGCAGATGTGAAGGTGTGAAGATCTAGATCTGCAGGTGTGAGGGTGTGAAGATCTAGATCTGCAGGTGTGAGGGTGTGATGATGTAGATCTGCAGATGTGAGGGTGTGAAGATCTAGATCTGCAGGTGTCGATCTGCAGATGCGAAGGTGTGAAGATCTAGATCTGCAGGTGTGAGGGTGTGAAGATCTAGATCTGCAGGTGTGAGGGTGTGATGATGTAGATCTGCAGATGTGAGGGTGTGAAGATCTAGATCTGCAGGTGTCAGGATGTGAAGATCTAGATCTGCAGGTGTGAGGGTGTGAAGATGTAGATCTGCAGATGTGAGGGTGTGCAGATCTAGATCTTCACACCCTCGATCTGCAGATGTGAGGGTGTGATGATGTAGATCTGCAGGTGTGAAGGTGTGAAGATCTAGATCTGCAGATGTGAGGGTGTGAAGATCTAGATCTGCAGGTGTGAAGGTGTGAAGATCTAGATCTGCAGGTGTGAGGGTGTGAAGATCTAGATCTGCAGGTGTGAAGGTGTGAAGATGTAGATCTGCAGATGTGAAGGTGTGAAGATCTAAATCTGCAGATGTGAAGGTGTGAAGATCTAGATCTGCAGATGTGAAGGTGTGAAGATCTAGATCTGCAGATGTGAAGGTGTGAAGATCTAGATCAGCAGATGTGAAGGTGTGAAGATGTAGTATAACGGCTGCTTTTTTTACGAAGAACCCTTCGCAGGCGCTCTCGGGAACAATTAGAAACATAGAATTGACCCAGAAAACAGAAAAAAAACAAGTTTTGAGCAGAGAAATTGAGATTTAGGCACATACAATTGAGTTTTACCACCTAGAAATGGAGGAAATGGAGGATTTAGCATGGCTTGACTACTAGTAAAATGGTGGATTTATGCCAGTTGAATGCCTTGGGCATGATTTAATCATGGAAACAAAATAAGCCAATCTGAGATCTATAAAAGGGTAAAACCGATAAACATGGGGTTGCATCAGCCAAGTATAAGTCTTGCAAATCTTGGATAAAATTCGATAGTTTTTGGTTGAACACGAACCATTTCCCCATCTATGGAAAAACTAGGGGGTGCAGTTGGAGTGGTCTTTATGGGTACGAGTTCATGAGTTTTTACCCAGCAACATTGGCTGCAAACGTGCTCCGATCATCGCGATCTCTGTATTCTGGATGTGTTCGCTACCTGGGTTCACTGGTATGGCTCCCACATGCCCTATGGTGATATATTAACCTCGAGAAGTGTGTTAAGGTACATGGCGATAAATTCTATAGGAATACATAAAGCATCTGGTGTTGCTTGCACATCACAAACAGGTTTGGTGCCCTCCTTTATCATCAAAACCATTTTTGAGGGGTTCTCTTAGTTCTCTTGCAAACCATCTGAATCTTTACGCTTGTTAGGGGGTCAAGTAACAGTCGTCTTCATTCTCAAACACAACATCCCGTATTTGTGTCTTAAGTACTACCAGTAGTACCGCACAAGGCGGCGGCGGAAGTTTCAAAAATAGGAAACCTATAGGAGACGTTGGTTGTTGTGAATCAGGGATGGCAGAGCGAAGCCACTGATTGACCGAAAGGTGGTTGGAGTTGTGTTTGCTGGAATGGTTGCAATGGTTGCAGTGGTCACCTCACCCACAACTGCTGGATGTAGTGTGATGTACTGCCACTGTAGTTGTAGTTGTAGCGTAGTGGAGTTGTAGTTGTGGTGTAATGTAATTAGTGTAGTGTAGTTGCAGTCATATAGTTGTAGCTGTAGTTGTTTTGTTGTTGTAGTTGTAGTTGTTGTTGTTGTTGCTGTTGTTGTTGTAGTAGTAGTTGTTGTTGTAGTTGTTGTAGTTGTAGTTCTAGTTGTAGTTGTTGTGTAGTTGTTGTAGTTGTAGTTGTTGTAGTTGTAGTTGTTGTGGTTGGTTGTTGGTTGTTGTTGTTGTTGCTGTTGCTGTTGTCGTCGAAGTTAGGGTAGTTAAGTTAAGTTAGTTAAGTTAGTCAAGTTAGTTAAGTTAATCAGTGTCTACTTTTTCGACATCTTCACGTCAAAAAAGGCTCAAAACCCTCAGTTTTTTACACTTTTGACTTCGAAATGTGCTTCGCGCCACAACGGCGTGCACTTTTTCGACACTTTTTCGACATCTGAACCTCCAAAAGTGGTCCGAGACCGCCAGTTTTTACACTTTTGACTTGGAAATGTGCTTCGCGCCACAACGGCGTGCACTTTTTCGACATCTGAACTTCCAAAAGTGGTCCGAGAATGGTGTGTTTTGTACATTTTGACTTCAAAATGTGCTTCGCGCCACAACGGCGTGCACTTTTTCGACATCTCAACTTCCAAAAGTGGTCCGCTCCTCTAGTGTTTTGTCCATTTTGACTTGGAAATGTGCTTCGCGCCACAACGGCGTGCAACTTTTCATCTCTCATCTGGCCAGCTGGCTCCACACCCGCCGCTTTAGCGAGCCTACTTTTCGACCCACCGGAGCCACAAATCATTGGAAAAACACAGTGTTTCGCGACTTTCCTACCTTTTCGCGCATCTGCATCTTCCTTCTTCTGATCTTGTCTCTTCTGACTCTTCTCACCTCTGCTTTTCAACTGTCCATATTGTCGGAAGTTTCACTTCTAAACTTCCTTCGGTAATATATATATATATATAGATATATATATATATATTATACTGTATATATTCTTGATACAATGAACAACAATGCCGTAATCTTTCATATCAATCATAAACATAAAAAAGAGACGACGACGACGACGACGACAACAACAACAACAGCAAACACAAGAACAACAACAAGAACAACCACAAGCACAGTTCATTTCTATACAACACATATGATCCTGACAATCATGTCCCCACCTCGTGAAAAAAAACACGTTCCCTTTGCGGTCCGTGCCCAGCTGCCGTGTTGGCTAAATTTCAACGCCAGGACGTTGAAGAGCTTGGCATAGGCGGCGCGGACGCCGTCGAAATCCGTCTCCATCTCCGCCAGCGTCTGGCCTTCGAAGACTTTGCCTTCCTGGCGCGGGAGCCGTCTAAGCGCCCGAAAGACGTGGACATTTACGGTCATTTACCTAAACAAATGGGAAAATGGGTATTGAACCAGCAAAAATAGGAATGGATACGTGATTTATTGGGAGGTAAGTTGGTTCCTAACTAGGCAAACAAGTGGATATGTATAGTTAGATGGCTTCATGAACCAACTTACAACTGGAGTGGGGCCTTGTCGCATGATACTGGGTGGTTGTTATAGTAGGTTTCCCTCTCATGGGTTACAATTCTCTTCAATAAGCCAACTTGAAACAAGACTATAATAACCAACCACCAGGAGTATATTGTAATGGCTCATCTGGTTGCGGCTAGATGAAAAAGAAAGCCGGGATTGATTCAATGGAATAAAACTGATGGGACAATTTTGACGTTAAAACCATCACTGGTTGACCCCAACGCGTGTTTCTTATCTTACTTGTTTTTCCTCATTGTCCTTGCCATTTGCTGGGGTGGTGATGATGCTGGTGGCGATTGCGGTTTTCTTTCATTTTCTTTCATTTTGTTATTCGTCTACTTTTGGACCATTCTTTCTTATGTAGTGTGCTTGGTGCGGGTTGCGGTCTCAATTTTTGCATCCTTTAACTTTCACTCATACCACTGCATATGAGCAGTGTTCAAAGCCCTCTGTCGTTTCATGATAGCTGTTGGTTAAGAGCTGCCACTTCATGGATAGGGATAATCCCCAAATCTAGAATATAATAGAATATAATAAAATATAATATACATAATATATATATACATAATATAATATAATATATAAATAAATATATATATATATATAATAATAATCCGCTTGGTAATATTGCCTGGAATCTGGGGGGTGCCATTTAAAAAAAAAAAAACGCGTCCGGCTAATAAAAACCCGCACGCTTTTTTTGATTGTTATGCATAGATTTGCACGGTATTCACAGTACATTCATGTTTTTCCATGATGGAAGAATGATTATGAACTTTGACATACGTGGTTGTTCTTCTTTGCTGAATGACTTTCCTGTGTAAACCAGCATGTCCCAACCTTAGAAGTTACTTGAGAAAGAAAAGAGCGTAGCATCAAGAGCGTGTTGGAAGAATGCAAGGCAACAGAGCGTTATTCGCCCGCCACCCCCCATCCCCCCACCCCCAATCGTCAACTTCAACATTTCATGACGACCAGGAAGTCAGTGCATCTTCAGCAGCGGGTTTCTACCGACCCCACCTGTTATAAGGATGCTCCTTATAAAATGACAACAAGGCTTAAAAAATAACAATTAACAAATGCCGTTTGTATAAAGTGACAAATCCGAGAGTTATAACATCTGAGATCCTTGCCTTGGTCACGTTCATCAATTTGCAAACATTCGCTATACACTATACATGTGCATGCAATTGGCAGTTCAAATCATACAACTCAAGGTCACTCCGACAACTTAGCGAAGCCGCAGCCAATGTGCGCTGGTTACGGCATGGCGGACTTAATCTTCAAGGCGGAGTTCAGTAGATTCCAAGCGTGGCCGACTCCGAAAGTCACTGAGAGCGGAATGTCGCTGCTGTGTAACAATTTCAAGTAAGCGGACGATCGCTTGAGTGCCACTACCATCGCGTTTCACAATTTTGACATGAGGAGTCAATGAGGAGCCACCCCTTCCTTAAGTGCAGCTGCCACGCCTTTGGATCCCGTGATGATGCCCAGGTGCACCCCGTGCGTCACAATATTGTTGGGCAGCATCAAAGTGACGGTTGAAAAACCGGGCTTATATAGTGCCAATGCTTTCTGGCCCAAGGTTCAACAACATAGGTTTCATTTTGTAACCCGAGCATACCAGAGACTCCGGGTCATTTCATGAGAACAAAACACATCCAAGACCATTTGTTTGATATGTTTGTTGTGGTATATGTTTCTCATTGTTGGCAGGTATACCGCAATCTTCAAAAGGAATGATAAATCCATTTGAGTGCAAATATGTGCAAATAACATGTTTTTTACAAATGACGGTTAAAAACAAAATAAAACTAAAATGACAAATTGATGAATCTTCATCAAGTGTATGGATCTGGCATTTCATAAAATAGCACGACTTATATACATGTTATAAAATGACAAATGTATTCACTGCAAGAGTGGCTTACAGAATGCCGTCGGTAAGCAGTGATGTTAGAACCTGGGGTGCGCGATCCCGCAAAATATCAATCATGTGCCAGTGAAAATCACATAACAGCAATCTCCATTTTATAACTGCTATGAGGTTAGTACCTCCTCCACAAGCACATGCCTGAAAATTGTATTTTCTTCCTTTGCTCTATTTATCCTGAAATTGTCAAGAGATTTCAACAGATTGAAGATTCTTAATGTTTTTGAATATTATTGAGTTGTCTTCAATATGTTTGAATTGTTCCTAGTTTTGACATGTTGCTTTTAATATGTTGTCATTGTCAGTAAATGGTATTTGTATTTTTGTGTATTTGTTATTTGATTGTTTTTGATTTTTATATGGTTGATATGGTTTGATCATATTCCATAATGTACGATAATGTTTGAACATGTTTGACAACGTTGGATATTGATTGTCTGTGTCCGATTAATTTCAAACTATTTCAATTCTGTTTGAGAAGGTTTTATTATGTGTGAATTGAAATTGAGGATGTTTGAGTTTGCAGCTCCCAAAACATAGCTAGCAACTAGACAGTGCCTACCTGCTCCAAATTCTTATGATTGGTGTTTTTGTTTTCCATGGCATACCATCCCAATGTAAACAGTGAAAGGATGGACCAGCATGTTATGACAAAAACATATAAAACAGAACAAATGATGAAGTCCACTCGTCATCCCCAAAAGACACCACTGGCACCCCCAGATCAAGACGTCACCAAGAGTCAGCCAGATTCTCCCAAAAGCCTGGTCCGTGGAATTGCATATTCACCACCATCACCAGGACTTTCAGGACCATTGTGGTCATGATGATGATGATGGTGGTGATGATGATGATGGTGATCATGATGGTATGAATATGTTGATGATGATGATGATGATGTTGATGATGATGATGGTGATGATGATGATGATGATGGTGATCATGATGATGGTGATGATGATGATGATGGTGATCATGATGATATGAATATGTTGTTGTTGTTGATGATGATGATGATGATTATGTTGATGATGATGATGATGAATATGATGAATATGATGAATATGATGAATATGATGATGATGATGATGATGTTGATGATGATGATAATCATCATCATCATATGATGATAATGATGATGATGTTGCTGCTGATTGTCATCATCATCATCATCATCACCATGATGATGATCATCATCATCAACATCTCATCATCAGCAATAACTGTACCGTAGCTATGGAAATTCGGACTTAATACTGAGCTGTATGATATAAATGAACATGACTACAACTGATTGTACAGAGTTCACAAAACTGACCATCGAAGCATATACACATGGAAGATGGGCCGCCAAGCACCATCCAGTTCAACCTCTTGGCATGGCAATAGTTGTTCCATGTTGTTCCCCCTAGAAGCCACAATCACTGAAGCCTTGTGTACCAAGTTGAACACGAATAAACAAACAGATTCATCCGTTTTCATCCCACATGGAGGTTTCCAAAACTAGTGGTACCCCCAAATCATCCATTTATAGATGGATTTTCCAGCCAATAAACCAACCATCTCCAGCGATTTTTGCCAAACCCACATGGAAAGCGCCACCCTGTCATCGGTGGAGCACAGCACCGGCACCTGGGTCGGGATAAACGAAGAACTCGTCCGCGCGGATGGGAACCAAGAAGTCGCGACACATGAAAGGGCAGGCTGCCATGGTCCCAGCGAAGCACACGTCTTGGAGCATCCCTGGCACGGCACGGCACGGTCCAGCAACGGGTACGGTGTCCCTGTGCATCAACGGGTACGGGAAAATCCACGAAATCAATGGGAGAAATGGTCCGGTTGATAGCTGGGAAACCAGAGGGTCATAAATCATTTTTTCTGATATGCCTGGATTGTAATTGGATTATCCCACATAATCCAATGGATTGTAATGTCTTGTAATTATGGTTCCCGGCCAGATAATGAATGGGATTTATAAAAATTCAGTTTCTGGTAAAAAAAAACAACGACTCAGCAATCGCAACGACGCGGCATCCGGTAACGCAGCAGTTGTGTTTGGAAAGCTGGGAAGGATGCAGATGTGGAAAGCCGATCAAAGCCGCGTAAACGCTGATGTAGTTGGAATGTAAATACCCATAGGATCCATGTATGCTATATATGATAACATTTACCATCAATATACCCCAAATGTTAGCATATATGCCATACACGGATGCTATAGGATAGGATACCCTCTGGTAAACTAACATAGCTATGGAAAATAACCACTTATAGATGATTTTTCCAATTAAAGCCATGGTGATTTTCCATAGTTATGTAAACGTTTACCGGAGGGTACTAGGCTTGGTTGATGGGATTGGCCAAAATGGGTAAGTAATGGAAATATCATGAAGAATTCGGGGGAAAATCCACCGGATAGTGATGTATACAAGATGCTGCCCCAACGCTGGCTAAGCTGGCTTGGTTCATTGATATAACTTGGGTTAACATCACCCAACTTCACTAACAACTGGGGCAGCACATTCGACGATTTTTTGGGAGATGCCAACATATGTATATATATATATAGTTTATAGATAGTTATATGATATGATATATGTATGTATATTATGCATATATCTTTAAATATATATATATATATATGCCAATACACGCCCCCTAGAACATCCGGGCATATGTAAATATTATATAGACATACATGAATTTTACATGCATATTTAAACGATTTTATACGTATATATACATACACATGTAAAATGGAACAGTGGACTTCCCAAGGATTCTTTGATGAATTTTATCCAAAATGAATACAAGGCCGCACTATGCTGCAATATCATTCTGGAATATGTAGAGTGTTTCCGAGATTGCCTTCTTTCTTTAGCTAATGCTCAAGTTGATACTCTATCTACTAAGGAAATGCATACAAATAGAATCAAACAGATACTATTTGTGTATTATGTACTGTAGACATCAAATATACCAAAATCACCCGAATATAGGCACATATAACACACATAGAAAATCTGGGTATCTAATGTCGGCCCCATTCATAAACTTGGGTCAAGTTACCCGCAAAACTGATACCACCCCAACCACACCAAATCAAACCATGGCAACATTTGGGGTTTCATTAGTCCCTGGAGTCCCTGGTCCGCATTTCGTCAACAGGATGCAGATCGGGGCCAATCATTCCAATTTGACCGCTACGCCGCTATCATTCACCCAGAAAAAGCATCGTGAAATTCGTGGAATCGCCATTTCAGATCCGAAACAACTGAAAATTCAACTCATTGTGCAGGGAAACCCCTGCAGATGTTGTGGGTATGCCTTTACCCTAAAAGTTGACCTAAACGCTGGCAATTAAACACATCAACGCATTGGGGTCCACAATTCATGTCCATAGGTATTTATCAAGCACTGAGAGATCTGCTGCTGGTGACATTACCCTGGTGCTTCTTTTCCGCTCACCCGTTCTTACTACTCAAATCACTTATCATTACATATGAGTCTTCCCGGCCGCCAACTTTCAAATGTGGACATCTGTTTGTCAAGGCAAGGTCACAAGATCCGACCGCTCCAAAATCAGCATTGCCATGTCCAGAATCCGATGAATATGTTGGAACAGTTTAAACATAATATGGACCCGAGTTTCAAACCTGTTTCAGCAGCTTGATGTTTAAACCTGTTTGGAACGACCCTGGTATGTATGCCTTGACCCTAAAAACACCCTTCTAAAAACTGGTAATTAAACTCACCAACACATGGGGGTCCACAATTAATGTTCATACAAAAGGTATTTTATATTATCGTTATAATTGTATTTTACTGTGTTTTGTAGATAAGTCTTGAAGATCTATCATGGTCTGTCTGTCAATGCGTAGTTCCTCGGCTCTCCATGGCAATGTGGACACCGCGGACAGCTCAGCCTGGCCTTGAGTCAGAAGCACCAGGATAGCCACAGCTACTGGCGAGGCAGCGCCGAACTTTGGGGTGCCACCAATGATGGGATGTAGCTAGACAGTGGTTATAAACCAATGATGGGATCCACTATAGTTTATATATCCCATACGAAAGAGGCCGAACTTTGAATGTCGGTGCC